CAGCCAGCCATGCTGGCTGGGGGATTCTTGGAGTTGAAGGCCACATCTTAAAGTTGCCAAGGTTGAGAAACACAGCTATATAATATTTTGTCTTCACCTACTGAATTACTCTGTGTCAAATTATTTTTCTGTATTGGAGTGGGAGTGGTTGTGTGCTTAAGTGACTTTCATTCTAACAGATGGCTCACCCATCCCTCTGCATTCCATGACTTTGTCCAGAAATGTAGGACCACAGCAAACCCTGCCTCGCCTGCTGTCCAAGAAACCCTAGACCATGCCCTTGCCTGAGAATTATTTTTGATTTAAATTGTGGATTCCTTTGCCTGCTTTGACTTGCTTCATATCACTATCTGCCCAGGCATCCAATTTCAAAGGAGATTTTGAAGTTACAAGAATATGAAATGGTTGCAGATATTCATGCTCACTTTATATCAGCCTGTCCTGTTTCTCCTGTTCTCAGTGCTAGCACCTCTCTTTGGAAGAAGTTTTTCCAGAATTTGAGATGCCACCCTCGTTCCCCACTTCTAGCTCTAGAATTGCCCAGGCATGCTTCTGTTTCTTCTCTCTCATCTCTTTCTGTAGTGTTCCCTGGAGCCACCAGTACCCCAGTTTGAGCTCTGGTATATTGCTCATGTGCAGTGTCCATCAACGGGGCAGCTGGAAATCTATTCCCTTATGAGGTGGCCTATTGGCGCTGACCAGGTCAGGCAAATTCTGGACTACCATTCAGCTAGCAACTGGGGAATCGCCATTTGACTGCTCTTCCACACATAAATGGCTCACATGGTGTAGACAATGATCACACTGAGAAGTAGTCCATCAACCTTTGATATATTTGTTCATGACACATAAAGGAGATACTGGTTTTTTTTTAAGAAAAGATGGACAAACAAAAATTAAAAAATACTGATCTGCTCCATTGGTAAATGATACCAGCCTACCATCTTGTTGGTTCTGTCTGGGTTTGCATGATATGGGTTAAACCTAATTTGCCTCTTCCTTGGGGAAATGCTTATGCATAATGGTAAGGCACTACTGGGGACACCTTGGAAGCAACCAACTCTGAGCCATTTCAAGCATGGCAGAGTTCTGTCACTTCATGCAGCTTGTTCCTTTTTTTTTCCTTAATTTTTTGGGGGGGAAATAAAAATTTGCAGTGGCTGATTGGAGCTGATGCCACTGGAGACAAGGTGGGGGCAATATTATCTCCCTCACGTCTGTCTTCCCATGATTCAGTTCCTCATCTAGTTATGGGGCATAGAAAATAAAATGGGGTGAGAGTTACTAATGTAGCCCCATTTTTGAGGGGCTGCTTTAGGATGTTTCCTCTGTACCAGAAACTGGTTAACAGGGTTAGCCTCTTATCATTTGTTGGAAGAGGTGGTCAATTGTGGGAGGTTAATTTAGACACAATCCTAGAGCTAAACCCTGTTGCTGACTTCCTCCTTGACCCAACTAAGTATGTCATGGGAAGAAACCCAAATGAATGGCTCTCTTGACTATAATTTTTTCCCTAGAAGCAGCATGGCACAGGCTGAATGTGATTGTGGTGCTCTAAAAACTACACTTTGATGCTGTCTCTATCTCCCCACCCAGGTAGGCACTGAGATGGTACTTCAAGGTATCCAAGTGTTTACTTGGCTGGCATCAGAAGAACATCAACTTAAAGGAAATATAGGGGGGATGATCTCCTTTTCGGGTGTGGGCTCAACATGGCATTCAGGTTTTAGTTTGCAAGGCTTGTTGACTTTAATTTCCATCTTTAGATAACATGGCCACTGAGCAAGGGGCTGCTTTCCCCCTTGGCCCCCTGGCCCAAAAAGAGACGTACAGCTGTGCGATCAGGAAACCAGTTCCTTGGAGAAGGGCCAGCAGACATCACGGCCCGTAGAGGGATGTATTTCAAATGCCTGTAACCAAGGAAGATGTTAGTAACAATCTTGAGCAAATGGAAGTTTGAGAGCACCAAAAATATCTCATTGTTTCTTACCCTGCTTGTTCTTTTGAATAAGAACTCTTAACATTCTTTATTTGACAAAAGAGAAGAGCTCAAACTGTAAAGATTTAGTCTGCTGTTCAACAGCCCCATGAGGGACAGAGACCTCCACCAGGTGGACTCTGCAAAATTTCTGCCATAAACAATATGACAAGACTGACCTGGCCATTCAGTGGTTAGTTTATAGTTGGAATAGTATACAGAAAGCCAAGTGGCAAGATACCCTAACCCTGAAAAAAACCAGAACAGCCAGTGGGAGCAATTAATGAAATTCTGGGGAGGAAGATTTGTTGTGTAGAAGCTTCACAGAAACTTTGAACATGGATCAATTTGGGAGGCTTTTAATTCTGCTGATCAAATTAACTCCTTTGCTATGTGTTTAGGCAAGATGTCACATTTTACAATTGCCCTTGCTACTATGGCTGGCCCTAGTAAAGCTGCTCCATCTCTACTGTTCTTTCCCAGATGTCAAAATACATAATGGAAAATTGTAATAGATGAAAGGAAGTCTGTGCTTGGATCAAAACTCCTCTGTGGTAGGCCTTGTTTAAGGAGTGTAGCTTCAGGGCAAACCTTTGCTTGTGATCTTGGAGAGTCGCTGTAAGTCAACAACAGGCCAGATAGACTCTTTCTCTGTCCTGATGTGGTACAGGGCAACTTAATATGCTCCAAAGATTAATCGCCTTGCTATTTCAGATCCATCCCAGATGCCATAAAGACTTCGTTTTTGTGGGTGAGCAGTCAAAAGCATAAATCCCCTTGCATCATCTCCCAGCCAAAGCAGAATATGACTATTAGGCCAGGATTTAACCCACAGCCCTTGATCTTAGTTGGGAAATGTCAGACTTTCCTATCTTCAACCACGTGTTAGTAGCTACTGTAGCTCCTAAGTTGATATATTTACTCCTGGCTCACACTGTCCAACCCAAATATGAATGGGAGCAGACTCACCGACAGGTGTAGATAGCAGCCCCCATGGCAGCAATGGCCAGCAGCATTCCAACTACAAATGTAATTTGGGCTGAGGCTGGACTTCTTTCTGCTGTAAGAGACAAAGGAATTTAGTGTTGCTTATCATGAGGATTGTGTGCTTTTCTTTTAGAAATATAGGGCAAACTATTCCCTTAGAATAGCCCCATATTTCTAATGGAAAAGTATACAACCCTTACTATGAGCAACTCTACCTCAATTTTACCATACTTAAAAGCAAAAAACACAGAGAAATTGGTTACGTTCACATATGCTGTGTTAAGCCATAATGCAATTTATTTGTTTTTGGCTTAGCATGTATGTGAACCTAGCCATTGTGGTTGTTAACTGTGGTTTAAGGTTTAGAATGATGTATTGTGTTTGGCCCCTGGTTGTCAGGATACTGGGAGGAGAGATTGCAATAAAACTGCTGATTACTATAAAGAGAAAACAGAAGGAATCTTGTCCTGCAGAAGACTAATTCCACAACAGAACAGTGGGCCATACCCTGGATGTTGACTTGGGTGCTGGCAACAGCCAGGGTGTTGGCATCAGCCAGTGAGATGTTGACGCAGTAGAGGCCAGATTGATTGAAGGCCTGGCGCAAAACAAGCTGGCAGTCTGGGCTTGGCGGAACAGGATTGCACACAGCCTCCTGGACTATCAAACACTCAGGATCTGAAATAGTTGTGCACACTTCTTCAGGGAGGCTACAAGTGAAACAAGGCTATTAGTCCACCCATCAGAAAAAGGCCATTCCCTTCCCATGACCCTCCCCTCTCCAAGGTTTCCATGTTACTGCTACGCTGTTCAAATATTGCCATTCAGGAATCTTTCCCACCATTCTGAGAGTGACTTGTTCCACAGATCTGGTTGCTCTGTGTCTAATACCCTTTCTTTTTGCTCCACAATCCCACATGCTTCAGCCACCATTTTAAGAAAGTGGGAATCTATCAGAGTCATTATTTTACCTATGAAACCTACCTTCCTTGGCAGGTCACAGTGAGATCTACTGCGTTCTCAGCAATAGCAGGCATCAGTGGCATTACCTGCACAATTTCCACACTCTCTATGCCCTCTGCAATAGAAGTGAACAAAGAAATGTTCAGTACACAAGCAAACAACCAAGCTCTGAGAGCACTGCAGACTCCACAAAATGGACACACCTTCAGATTTGGAAACTAGAATGTGGAATGGACATTTTAACTTCCACAGGACATCTTTATCTAACTTTTAGCCCCAGGCATGTCACATTATTCTTGCCTAATCTATCTTCTAGTTATGCTGGGACCACAATTCCCAGAATTCCCTGTCAGCTTGGAACTTAAAAAAATACGTGGAGCAGATTGATTTGGGGAAGGCTGTCTTACAGTGATTACATTAGTCTGTCATCTTCTATAGGTAGATGGCTCTGCATGTGGTTTAGGTCCATCCTCCTTGCCTAATGATGCCCAACCACCTTTGGCCTAGCTTGAATGGATGCTCAACTGTTCCTCTTGCCCACACCATTCCCTAGACTCACGGATGATATCCAGATGAGTAGAGAAGGTTCCATAACGATAGAGGAGGCATCCAGTGGGTGCCTGGCGTTTCACCAGGAGCTGGACCACATTTCCTGCGACTGTTCCTGTGACAGGCGTAACTGAACCCATTAGATTGATGGTTGCTGTGTCTTCAGATGTATCTGTTGGAAAAATATTACTGGAAAAATATTACAATATTCAAGGATAAAAGCTCATTTTTATTCCCCCATGGCTTCAGGTGTCACTACCTCAAAAATGGTAGTACTTTCCAGATGTTCTGGACCACAGCTTCTGACAGCCCTTGCCATTGGCTCTTGCCTGGGGCTGATGGCAATTGAAATTAAACATCTGGAGGGGACTAGGTTGCCTACTCCTGGTTTAAGATGAGCAACAGGAATATGATAACTGTTTAGAAGAGATAGGTGTTGCTAAGGCAGCCTTCCCCACAGGCATCTGGGGGGGAAATAATGAAATATGTGTCATGACAAACTCTTTCCCTTGTGTGTGTGTGTGTGTGTATTGTAATGCCACAAATATGCAAGTGGTGGTGCTTGTGTCATATTATGACAAGTTTTGCCATTTTGGTGAAACACCTGAACTCATCATTAACCTGATGCTTTCAGAGGTATTACAGTTTCAAGAAACTGAACATGCAGTCCTAGCACTAGAAGGCAACAGGTTGGGAAAGGCAATACTAGGACATCCAAGAGAAGAAATACTATCATGATGTCAGCCCTTTGAGGTAGACCAGACTAGGAAACCAAAGTCATGCAGCTTAATATTACTTTTATTATAAAGTTATAGTAACAGAATCTTGGAAGTCTGAATGTGCTTCCCCTTCCCTTTATTTTCAGGAGAATTAGGGAGGGTCTTGTCTCAGATTACAGTTCTGGTCCGGACTCAAATCTTATCTGACTGTTGCCTTGGTAATGGCTTTTCTTCCTGTTCCTCAAGGTCATTCGTTGTACCCATTACGCATGCTTTCTTGCATATGGGTTGGAAACCTCATACCTCAAATGTTTCTGAACCACAACTCCTACTAGCCCTATGTGGCATGTCCATCAGCAAGAGATACTGTGAGCAGTGTTTGGAAGGCTTCACCTCTACTCTAGAACGGCCTTAACACTGCATTTTTTTTAATCAATTGGGGAAACTTTGTAGAACCTCCAAATAGTCCACCAGATGGCCTACTGTTCACCCAGTTGATTTAGGTCATTCAGCCACCATACTTTTCCTACAAATAGTTTTCCATTCCTGCCTTTTAGGTCAAACTCCCCGTGATGAGCACAACTGGATTTCCTCTCTGTTCTATAATGTCATTGAGAAACTCTACCCTTCACATGCAGATAAAGGTAAAAAGCACAGCCAAAAGCACCAGACTATTCTCAGAGGCACAAGGAATCCCCTGCTAGGCCTACCTGCTGCCAAAGAGAGAGGGGCATTAGCTGTGGTAAAAAGTGTTGTTGAAGCCCCTGAAAGCACATTTGTAGGTGCTGCAGATGACAAAGCAGTGGGTTCCAGTGTGCCTGGGTTGTTCTCAGGTACTACTGTGGATGAAGAACCAGAAGCCACAGAGCCTGGTGGAGATGCAGAAGCTGCAGTAGATACCAGGGCCATGGTATTTGGGAGAGATGCAGACATGGCGACCATCACACCCACAGTGGGTGCACTATCTTCAGCTGCATCGGATGATGAAACACTTGCAGGTTCCACAGAAACAGGTGCTGAATCTGCTCCTTCAGGCCTGGCACTGATGATTGTGGCAGGAGCTGCTACAGCTGTGGCCACAGACGCTGCCTCTTCAGTTTCTGCTGATGGTACAGTGGAAAGCACTGAAGTTGCAGAAGCTGGGACTAAAGATGCAAAAGGTAGGTGGGATAGAAGAAAGAGAGAATGAGAAATGTACTGAACATAATTTCTGTAGGACAGTTAAAACCTACTAGACGAACCAATTCTTTTGGTATAATTCATAAACATGTCCCATCAAGGGCTGGTGTGAACCCTGCATTTTATTCTTTTATATAAAGCTTCCCTTTCAGTTTGGCATAGGCTGGCTATTCATGGAATAAGTTAGGCAATGGGACTGTTTCAAGAAACTGGAACAGCCTTTCCCAACTGGATGTCCTCTAGATCTGTCAGGTTTTGATTTACACAGGCTCAAGAGGGTCCTATATATATAAGGTAGCAAAGGTTGATTTGGAATATGAGTCCCACCCAGAATATGGAGTATCAAGGATAGTTTTTGCCTGGGAAAATATATATTCCAGGAAAAGGCAGAAGCAGTTTTGTGGATTCAAGATTTAGAACCAGGATATAGACTCCTTCTCTTGTAATGAAAATGCTTGAATATTGCTCTAGAGGGAGCAAAGAGGGAGAAATTAATCAACTCTGGAAAAACCCTAGGAGGAGAATAAAAGTTGAAGAACTGTTTTTGATCTCAGGAACATTTGGGGTTTCCGGGGTTTCATATTTTCTTTAAGAAGCTTCCCCAAATCCCAGCTGCCATTCTAAAGGATTCTAAGGAAGCATCCCCCAACTTCTGCCCTCCAGACCACAGGTTTCAACTACAATTCCTAATCATCCCCAACCCTCAAAGTCACTAAAGTTGCAAGATGAAAATCATGGGAGCTGCCGTCCAATTCATTTCCAGGACAATTGGTTGGGAAAGTTTCTGTAGGATTCATTCAGCTAGTGTCCATTCTTGTTTGGATTCATCACCCAGTATGAACTGAGAGTGAGATTACAACATACAGACAACTCCTTGATGGTTTTGAGGATTAGAAAAGATGGACAAAATGTCATTTAGGTAAGTGACTGAGGGGACCCCTTCCCATCCCAGTTTTTCTAGAAGAGTTTGAAAAACATCGTGCTCAACTTTCTACTGGTGTATTATGCTGCTGTTCCACTTCCTGTTGAAAGCTCTTAATTATCAACACTCCTACCCTAGACCTGAAAATTCATTCTAGAAATAAAATAGATTATGTCAACATCTTAGCTGTATTCCAATTTATTTGAAAAATATATTTAGTCTCAGTACAGAACCTGAGCTTGTTTTTTGGAGCAGAAAAAAATCAGGTGAATACTGGCTAAAAAAAGCTAGCAAGGAGAGGAGCTGGGTACTTACCAGAGGTCAGAACCTCTTCAGAGCTTGCCCCAGTTATGCTACTTATGGTGGAAAAAACACTGGAAGCTTGAACCGTGGTACCACTCAGAGTGGTTGTAGGCATGATGAATGGCTCTTCTGAAGTACTGCTTCCACATGAGGCCACAGGGATGGCAGCCTGAAGCACCACACGTGGACTGAATATACCAGCAGAAAGGTAGGTGTGAGTGACCATGGTTGCCCGAGAAATCAGTGTCCCACTCTGGTCACCAAAATCCCAGGAGTAGGAAATGTCAGCATCATGGAGGTATTGGCTCGGATCATGGAGCTGCACAGCAAAGGAGATGGCTCGGTTTCGCACAAAACGGCTATCTGTCCCATCTATATCAAGAACTTGTGCAATGTTCACTTTGAACGGGATCTGGTCTGGGAAAGGAAGCAGAGGATCAACGGTGGACATGGAAACTTAATTTGGAGAGAGTGAGCAGCTTTTATGGAAGAGACCTGCTCCATTCCTCCCAGGAATCCAACTTGGCTACTCCACAACTGGCTTTGTCTTCTTATCAGTTCAGCAGCTCCTCTTCTGTCAACCAAAAGCTAGCTGGAATTACAAGGAAACCTAGCCTTTCTAGCTTTTATTATAGATCCCTTGGCCGTTTTAGATGTCTACGTTCAGAAGACAGGAGACAAGGTCACTAAACCCCTAGATTTATCAAGCACTGTCCCCAGCAGAGTCCACCATTCATATTTACCCGTGATGCTAAACTGTGATGAGGTACTACCAATAGGGATGAATTTCTCACGTCCCCGGTAATGATAGACTTCCACATCCATGGTATAGGAACCCAAAGCTGTATCACCTGTTTCAATGGTCAACAAGGATGTGGGACCATCTACTACTTGCCAGTAGCGCCCTGCAGGGAGAAAAAGAATATGGGAAAAACACCAGTAATGAAGATAGCAGGCACAAGATGCCACTTCCTAAGTTGAGAAGGGAAACTGCCATTCCTCCTGGTACAGTTTATATCAGAACTGGATGCTTTCCAGATGTGCTGGCCACCGCTCCTGCAATTCCCAGCCAGCATGTCCATTGGCCATCTTGCCATTTGAAAAGCTAGTTAAAACTTGGTAATAATGAGTCCCTTTTTTGGTTCAGATAGCAGGAATACAAGTTAACTTCAAGAAGAAAAATAGGAATGTAAAAGAATGCAGTTAGACATCTGGAGTCCACCATAGCTCAGGCAGTTTACTGACTATGCTTCCTAACAGGGATCTTGTGCTTTCAACTGCTACATAAATAAGCAGTACTTTAGCAGGACTTTTTTTTGTATTAGCCTCTGAAAGTCATCTGCTGAATATATATTTATATCTATCTATCATCTATCTCTCTGTCTCTCTATCTGAACATAGTCTGAAGTATTAAAAAAGGCTGAAATGATACCAATTCTATAACTTGCACAGAGAAATAAAGAACATGAGCGTCAGCCCAATACAGCAAACAAACAAACAAACATCTATCTATCAACAGGAAACAAGCTGTCCAGAAAAGAAACAACCCTAATCATTTATGTAATAAATCTCATATCTTAAAGCTAAATCATGCAAATATAGGTTATCATTTAGTGACTGCAATTGGTTCCGATGACTCGGTTGTTAAGCAAACTGGTTGTTAAGTGAATATGTGACTGAAAGAGAGAGAGAGATGTTGCAAAGATCACTGGTTGCTGTAGTCTCATTCCGATAAAGTTCTCTCCTATAGCGTCTTGTGCCTGACCCATTTTTTTTCCTTTTCTTGCCCCCTCACAGGGCTGATTGCTTAAACAAGCTACCTCTTCCTGAGCTGCTTTTCTCCACAGCACAGCACTTCCCTAAAAAGTGCTAACCACAAGTTAACAAGCTCACCAGTGACCTTGATTAGTTGATTAGAACCCTCCAGCAGCTGGCAGCTGCTACCTGAAACTGACCAGACCTTAATCAATTTCATACTGAAGGCTTTTGTTGTGGTAAATGTGTGCATTGGTCAGAAAATGAATTTTTTATTACTGTTTATTACTGCCATATTTGCAAATGGTCGCTATCTGAGGCAGTCGCTAAATGAGGGCTACCTGTAATTAGGAAGTAATCTTCACAGGGAGGCTACCTTTCTCTATATGCTTTTTTTAAAAAAATGCAAAACACTATTTTTTTAAGGAAAATCATTTTCAATAGCAGCTCTATTTATCTATTTGTGTGCCGTCCGACTCAATAAAGCATATTCTCACAGATAGATCCATTCATTCACAGTGAAAACATTCCTAATTGTGCCACATCCTGTGGATTTTCCTTTTATGTCAGCCAGGAAGGGGCCTTTTCTGCTTTGGAACACTTTCTCCTTATCATGTGCCAATTTTGTTTCAGTTTTATGCACGTATTGAAACATGTTCTGTCTCCGTGGCATATGATATCTCACAATGGTACTCTTTGAGGACTCAAGACCGTGGGTTTATACATTTTATGTGATTAAATATAAATCACTACTTTTGTTGCTTTATGATTTACCTATTTTTATTTGAAATCATGTGACATATATTTTGTTGATGTTTCCCACCTGGATATACTCAGCACAACAAGCGATGTAAAAATATTTTAAAGAAATATAAACATTTATAATAAGCCATGCACAAACCACCTTATGGTTTAGCACAATGTATGAATTCAGCCACTGTCTAGCTCAGTTTTTCTCAACCTTGACAACTTTAAGATGTGTGGACTTCAGCTCCCAGAATTCCCTAGCCACCATGGCTGGCTTGGGAATTCTGGGATTTGAAGTCCACACATCTTAAGGTTGTCAAGGTTGAGAAAGACTGAGCTAGCTTGTTATGCTAGAGTAACGGAGAAGAAAAGACTGTGAAGGACTCCGAAATGTGTGGGACCCTCCCACTAAGGGCCCAACCAGCAACTTACCCCAGGTCTGCCAGACATAGACAAACTTGCCACGCCGGCGATCACTTGAGGAGAAGGGTTGTCCATCAGGAAACACATAATCAGAAGCATTGGCTTCCTGATCTGGGAAAACAGGATCCCCTTGTCTCATACGGGTGCCTGCAAAGAAGAAAGAGATGGAGAAATGAAAAAAAATGGTGAATAAGGCTCTGGAGGGCCTGAGTTGAAATCGCAGCACCCCTACAGGTATATTACATTTGAACATGTGCAGCTTACCATTTATGGTGCAGTTCTGGCTCCATACTACACGTCCATCTGCCAGCACAGTTTGGCTGTTGGGAAAGCGCAAAGCAATGCTGAATGTGGCTCTGGCCCCTGTTAAAGTTGGGGCATCGTTGCTGATGTCAATTGCTACATTGCCGCCTAGAAAGAAAAAGAAAAGGAAGGTGTCCAAAAGTTTCTGAGCTATGCCACAGCTGGGGGTGCACTTCCATATATCCACTTTTGAGGATAAAAGAGGGCACAGGCTTGCAAAAGTGTGTCAGTGCCAACTTAAAAGAACAGAAGCACATTTAGAAACAAATGGGATAACTGCAGGAAAGACACAGTACATCTCAACAAGGAGGCCTGTGATCGGGTGACCACAGAAGTCCACACAGAGGTGCAAAGATGCTGATCTTTGGGTTCTTCATGGTTGAGTGGAATTTAGGCCAGACAGAGGATGCCTCCCCACAGAGGATGATCCTTTGACAGCTGTTCTGAAGAACTGCGAGTAGGGTCCATGGCCACCCTAACCACCAACCCTGAGGCCTAGAAGCCTCAACCGATTGTTTCCCCTTCTTGTTCAGACCCACTGCCCTTGCATCAAGCTTATCCCGTACCTCGCCAGCAGTTTGACTGCCTGGGATCTCCTTCTCTCCACCGGGGGTAAAGGTTGGAGTTCCACGTCTTGTATGCCGAGTACCCCTGGCTCCCGTTTTGTCCCCATCTGTTGTTCCTGCCACTGACCCCTAAAAGAAAGACATTTACTTCAGTCCACTGGGGGAGTGGTCAAAAAAGTCCAGAGGGTAGGCACGACCATGGAGTTGAACCCCCCTCCCCATGTGTAGCACAAAGAAAAGGGGACAGGCTTCAACTGCATAGCTGCCAACCTCCTCTCGAATTTTTTGACAGCCCCCCCCCCAGATGCTCCTGCTTTAGTCTGTTTTCTGCCTCATAATTTCTAATATGTCAGAGATAAAGTTGGGCACTATGGCGTAATATCACTCTAAAAGTCACTTTGTGATTCCTATCCCCCCCAAGACTTTTATTTTTCATTGCTAGAAAATGTTAACTTAATTCTGCCAAAGCCTGCTTCTGAATAAGTAAATGAACCTATGTGTGTACATAAATGGATTATAGATGTTCAAAATATATTTTTTTAGTGGCCTGATTAAAGACCATCCTGAGCTGGATGGACAGCGAATGGATGTCCTAGTGTTTTCTGCTCAATTCCTTTATGGCGATCTTGGGGGCCCCTGTCTCATGCTGAACCTGCCCAGATCTGAAGGTCCTTGAACATGCTGGGTCCTTCCCAAACTGTGCAAAGTCTTCTCTGGAAAGCTACACTCTGGATTTTAGGAACCTGCACAAGACACATCAGACCAGTCTTCGGTTTTGATGTGTGCCAGGTTATTTTTACAGCTTTCCATATTTTTCACTTAAAAATGAAAAGTGACATAAAATTGCACCAAGAAGGCACCCAAAAGAACCAAGGGTCTCTTGTCTTGAACAACGGCATAGAAGAGGAGATTGCAGCAAAGGTAGCATGTACGGACCTTCAGAACTGGAGGGCTGTAGTTGGCCTTTGTATAGTTTGGCAGAGGAATCCCCTCCAATCAGCTATAACAGCAACAGCATCTGTTTAACTGATATTAATTTTAATACATTTAAATCTTCTAAACTTTAAATAGCATTCTCTTCTGTGACATTAAATGTTATAATTTGAAGGCAACTTTCAGAAGGCTTCTGGGGCAGCATCCAAGGCTTGAGAGCTGTCTAGTGCCTCACTCATATCACCTAAGGGGACCTCTTCTTGCCCCTGGGTTGTATGAATCAGCCTCTAGTGGAAGGAGGGACAGAGGTGGGGTTAGGCAAGCTTTAGACCTGTAGAGGCTGACCTCCCTTACTGCGCAGTGACTACAGAGGCCTGCCTCAGCTGAGAGTCACATGAAAGAGCTTGAACAGAGGCCGCCAAACCCCATGTGATATGAGCCCCCCCAGCACTGGGGTGGGCTGTGCTGTCACATGCTGTCTGTACCTACAGCAGAGGAAAAAATCTTGAGCGCTTAGCCACACCATTGGCAGTGGGGAGAGACAGTACAGGGAAGGGTGTTCCCAGGAACTTATGGGGATCAGAGAAAGCATGTAGGAAACTATGGGGTGAAAAGGAAAATAGCATTCACCCAAAGTTAGAAAATAACGTTGTTTCCATTTTCCAAGGTTTTATCATTAGTTACACAGGCTGCTCCAAGACACTTATCTTAAAAAAAAAAAAAAACTTTCAGTTCTCCTGAATCAAGGTAAAAAAGGGAAGCAATGGAAAAAACTCACTGCAAAATAAATGGGAAGCTGCATTACACCTAACCAGCCATTTCATTCAGTATTGTCTACGTTAATTTTCCCTAAACTGGTGAGAAGGGTTGGACTTCAGTTCTGGTTGGGAATTACTGGAGTTCAGGTCCATCAGATCTGGAAAGTATCAGGTTGGGGAAGGCAGAGGCTGTCTGCCAAGAATTTTTGCCCACCTCCCTGGAGATGTTTCAGTAGGTAGCAGCATCTGTTGGACTTTCTTTGGCCTTGAGAGATAAGCAAGATCATACCTGACTAGTACTTGGATGCGCAATCACCAGGAAATCTTAGGGCTATAAACTAGATTGGAAAATCAAAAAACAGCCCCGAAGACAGCAACAGCAAGCCACTTCTGTACCACTGCTGAGAAAATATCAGCATATAGTCAGCAGGAATTGAGCTTGGCTCAAGGCAATTTTACCCTTTACTTGGGGATATCACGGAATGGACTGAATTTGGGATTTGCTGCATGTAAAACAGATGTTCTAACACAAAACTATGGCCCTTCTCCTCCTTCTCAGGGCCATGTCCAGTAAACATTAGTTTGTGCCAATTCTTACTGAAGTTGCTCAGAAAGACCCATACCTGGAAACTTCCCTGATGAAAGAAAGGAAGAATTCACAAAGAACAAAGGATACACAACCACAACCAGTAGCTGGAAGTTAGGCTGGTAAGATTTGAAATGGAGGATCTTCCCACACGCCCACTTTAACGCAATCAGGGTGATTAATAATTGGATCTGACTGAGCATGGAGAGACTCTCCATCATCAGTCTTCAGAAAATTAGGCACACACATTCCATATCCCAAACCACAAGCACCAACAAAAGAGGATTAGTGAGTCTTGTCTGCCTAGACACAAATCCAGATCACCACAAGGTTTGGCTTTTACAAGAGTTCTGTGTGTGCGTGAGGGGGTATGTAATGTAACCATCAAATTAACCCAAAGCTCCAATGGATTTTCAGTGGCAAAGTGGCATCGCTATTTTTTATCACACTAAGTAGGGGTAAAATAGTCCCAAATAACATTTTTATAAGAATTCTGAATATTCCAGGACTGATCCAAAATTTATAACTACAGCAAATTGGCTTTTCTTTTGATGCCAATATTTTTTTCCTCCATGGCTGACCTCTAGATGAAGACTATTTTCTAGGTTAGAGCTACGTGCCAGGGAATCAATTTGGATTCTCCACTCACTGCCCTTCACTGCATATCTTATTTGCTCACCGTTCCTTCTGCAAAATCTACTTCCCATTCATACAGTCAGCAGTTGTGAAATGAATCAAATCTAGTTTGATTTGTAGATGTACAAGTGTTGTACGTGCATGTAACATATATTATTTAAAACAAATCTTATTTAATCTTTAATCTAAATTGATCTTATATAGAATCATATTTTGCTGAGAATGTTTTTATTAAAAAGGAAAGTTTGAAAAACAATGGAAATCTAGATTTTGCATGCAAAAAATGTTTGAAGGTATATATGCATAAGAGGGGTTCTTTATTCAGTAAAGTAATGTAATATATACATACATACATATACACACACACACAGTATATATATATATATAATAAAATGCTCCCAACATTAATGTTTATAGGAGTTGTAGGCCTAACTGTACTGTACGGTTTTGTGTTCCTTTGATCCCTGTGCTAAATTGCCTGGTTTGTACACTCCCAAATTAGAATTATTCTTCTGCAATTCAAAAATTTTTCTTTTTCTAGAAAAAGAAGATGCAGATGAGGAACTTATCTTCTGATGGTGATGACAACACAGTAAAGGAACAGCTGTTAAGTCTCTTGAGCTGTGAACATTTTCGAACCACAACACAGAGAATATTCAGAAGATCACACTTTCTACATAGACCAAATCAATAGATGCTACTCATGCTATAGCAAGTGGTTACCTCACAGCACTGAGTTAAGGTGGGAGCTCAATCTGATCTTTGGAAATATCCAGGCACACAGGATTCTAATTTATGGTGGGGCAACTTCTGTGGGTGAAGTACTTACTGCGTTGAGCTGTGGCAGTAGCCAGGAGGGCCCAAACTGTAGCCCATAGGAACAAGGTCCGTGACATCTTCAAATCTTTAGTTCTTTGCAGTCTCTTGAACAATTGATGGCAAAAGAAGGCAAGAAAGAACCTCCCGCTATTAAAAAGGGAGCTCATTTGCATATACCCACCTCTCTTTGGAGCATGAAGGCATTACTTTCTTTCCGGCAGGGGACCGTCTCCCTCCTCTTTCTAATAACTGGGATGGGGGAAGGGGGAGACCATAGACTGTGTGATCTGGTCACAAGTTTGCATTGTGGTGAACACAAAGAGGCCCCCTCTTTAAATCCCATAGCTGGAATGCCAGGGCAGGGGATGGGCGATGCTTAAACACTGAGGTGCTTCACAGCAGAGAAGGAAGCTTGGGGTAATTGGAGAGATAACAAGAGAGAGCCAAATGACTAGTTATGCAACTTTGTTAAAGGACATCACTGGGGTGAGATTACAGGGCACACCACCACTCACCTCTTGGTTGCCTCTCTGGACCTTATCCAGGTCCAGATTTAAGACAATGGAGCCTAAGCAAACTACACCAAGCAGCTAAAGAACTCAGAGAGGTAGCTGATAGAAAAGCGAAACTTCCAGTTAAACCCTTCAAGTTGAAATTGATTCCATAGCAATATTAAAGATGCATGTGTCTAGGGGTTTTTGATAATAATAAAGAAGTGGTTTGCTGTTGGCTCCTTCTAGTATGCCTTAAAAAAAAACCACCTTCCTAATCTAGCCTAAAGCCCTGCAATTTCCCAAGAGTCTCCGTCCAGTCCTCCCTCTGTAACAGCAGAGCAAGTAGAAATCAGGCCTGATCCTAGTCAACGTTTGAAGATTAGCCAACATCAGCTAGATGCTACCACACTGCTGGATCTTTATCACTCTAAGAAATCAAGGACTTGTTGCTATTTCAAGGCCCATCAGGACATGATGGCGAGCCAAAAGACTCTGAAACCCATCCCGATTACCTTTCATTCAAACTCAGTGCTGATCTTCAGCAGTTCACACTGTCTCTCAACCTCATCTGCCTTATGATATTGTGAAAGCAAGTATGATACTTCCAACTTCACTATCTTCGAAATTATATAGAAGTATATACTTAATACAGGAGTATATATTTTTAACAGTATGAAGTCATGGACTGCCATATCTTTTAAGCATAAAATATAAGTTGCTTTATAAAGATAATAAACAAGCCCATATATGATTGACTGCATAGATCTGCTTAGTTTCTGGAATGGGATTTGTTCTTTCCAAATTCAGTATCTAGTTTGTATAACAAATTTTGCCCTCAGTTAAGTGAATTTTGCTGGTTTATAATCTATAATCTATCTATCTATCTATCATCTCAATTATTCCTTGTTGCATGAAAACACTAAATTTTAGCTCCCCTCCTAAGATGGTTTATTTCCCAGAATTGTAAGGCACATCATCAGGTTTAGGGAAAATTAAAGCCACTTTAGAGAGGCAAGCAGGCTTCATGGTCATTAAGAACTCTCCCAGAATAATTAGATTTCATGGAAAAGTATACAGGTCGTCCTCGCTTAATGACCAAAGTTACAATGGTGCTAAAAATGTGACTTACAACCAGTGTCCGAAGTTACAACCATTGTAGCACCCTTGCGGTCATGCGATCATGATCTGGGCGCTTGGCAACCAGCTCGCACTTACAATAGTTACAGCATCCCAGGGTCACATGATTGCCATTTACGACCTTCCCAGCCAGCTTCCGGTAAGCAAAATCAATTGGGAACCACGTGATTCACTTAATGACCATGTGACTCACTTAATGACCACATGATTCACTTAACAACCACAGTAATTTGCTTAACAACTGCTGCAAAAAAGGTCATAACATCGGGTCCGGTCATGTGATGATTCGCTTAAGGACTGCATCGCTTAGTGACCTAAATTCTGGTTCCAATTGTGGTTGTTAAGCGAGGACTACCTCTAGACATTGAACAGACTTTCTCTACACAGCATATGTCTGTTTTCATTTCTGTGCCTGCAATGGCTCACAGAAGCATTGTGTTTCTTTAACAATTTCCACTGCCAGAGTTCTTAAATCAACCAAAATTTGTATCTCAGTTGCTGTTACAGAGGGAGGACTGGATTTTACTTCAACCAGGAAAATCCCACCAAAACTCTATGCAAAATAATAAGTGGACCACAGATCTTTTTTTAAACATGGCAATATTCAGAAATCAGTGGAGGAAAAGAGAATTTCCCTGGGATTTGCTACTGAAAGCCACGGTTATTCTACAACAGCAGCGGGCAACCTGTAGGTCACAGATTGCATACAGTTCCCCAGCCACATTTTTGTGCATCTTGACATCTAATTGCCAACATTCAGTGGTCAATTATAAAATAACAGTGCAAGGTCTTGCCAATTTTTGGCAGAAAATGACCAAAAGTAGATTTATTAACTCACTAATAAGCCTAACACATCTATTATTATGTTAAATCCCATTGGGAAAAATTCTAAAAAGAGAAAGTGGCCAGAAAATTCTGTTAAATCCTTTACGATTGAGTTAAAATATCGCCATTTTAATCTTGTATCATGTCAAGTATTACAAGTTGTCAGCAACCTTTGGAGGAGTTCTGGAGGTTGCACCCAAGGCTGTGCATACCCCTGCCTTAGAGGCCATTGAGAGCTGCATTTTAGAAAGGAAACTCTTCTCATGACCTTGTATTAATTCGTTCACACCCAGAATGCATCCATAATCACATGGAAGAGGAAGAAATAGACATTTTAACCAGTGTGCCGGGGGTGGGGGCGGGGTGGGGGGAGGACCTAATTTTAAAAACATTTCTCAGGAGCTTTTTCAATGAAAAAAAATAAAGCAACTGGTTCCATTGTTCAGACATACACACACAAACACAAACCACAAAAGACAGCAGTAGACAACACTGCATTAGTGAACAGCAATTCCTTGGAGCCATGTTCCTGTACTCATTATAGCAGTGGTTCTCAAGTGGGGACAACTTATAGTCTATGAAGATACTACAGAGGGTCCACATATAGAGTGTGTATAAGTGTGTGCGCACATGCATGCCAAAATCCCTTAGAATCACAAATGTTGCAAGATTTTGGCGTTCTCACCCCAAATCTCACAAGATTTTAACACTAAACCCCTCAGATACGGTAATCTCAAAATACTTTAGCCATATTTAATTACTAAAAAATAATATCTATTTCACATTGGGGTTGGATGGAGACCATCTGGGTGGGGTCACACATGCCAGGGTTCCCACAACACCTTGTTGCCCTCCCCTCCATTTACCGGGGGATCTTCAAACTGGCCAACTACCATCGCCACCTAGCGAGACGGTTGTGCAAACACAGCCACCATGTTCAGCTGATTTTCTCCTTTGTGTTAATATCTATTCAAGGTCTTCTTCTGTTGGTTTTTAAAATCTACCTGAATTCGAATTAATCTGAAGCTTAACCCTGCTGTCGTCAATAGAGACTACATCAGATCGGCATTTTCGCATGAATCCGTACTTAGGCGCTTATCATCAAAACTCTCCTTCTCGAAAACTACCGTACTCGCCCTTTAAGAAAAACTTCCCGTATTCTCTTTCTCTCCCGCCACACAACGTGCTTCGCTATAACCCTGGAGCCAATAGGGTGGAAGGAAGGGGCGGAGCGAGTGGAACGCGGGAAGCCGGAGGAAAGGAGGAGGGGAGCTGGAATCGTTAGTATTGTTTTAAGTTCAGCGTCGCGCGCGGGAAAAGGGAGCGAAAGAGAAGAAGCCGCGGCAACGCAACTGCCGAGCAGAAATACACCGCGTTCGATCGGCGTCGCGTGAGTGCGTGGCCATTCGAGTCTCTTCTAACCGCAGCCACCGCCGGGCGGCCCTGCGACCGTGCCCTGCTTGGGTCTTGCGGACCACCACCTCTCCTTCCTTCTCTGTGCCGCCTAGGATCTTTAGGGCAAACTGGGATCCACCCCAGCCAACGTCTCCTCCGATGGAGAACTTCCAGAAAGTGGAGAAGATCGGGGAAGGCACGTACGGCGTGGTCTATAAAGCAAAGAACAAAGTCACCGGCGAGGTGGTCGCGCTTAAAAAAATCCGCTTGGACACGTGAGTGGAAGACCTTTCCTCCCCTCCATCCAGCAGCACCCCCACACACACACCCCACACACACAGTGGGAAGAGTGATCGTTTCTCCGCTTAAAGGAGAAAGAGGAGCCCGAACCTCGCTTTGCCTTAGGAAGAAGCCGGGAAGCGTAGCTTCGGAGTGGTGGGCGAGGAGCAAAGGGTATGGGGGGGAAACTGAGACTTGTAAGCCCCGGCTGCCTGCTCGGCTCCTCCTCCTTCGCCATTAGGGAAGGCTTAGATTGAAGGCTTGGTTAAGCGGAGGGCGGTTATGCTTTCCTCTGTTCTTGATCCACGTCCAAATTTTTTAGAAAGTTACGAAGACCGAGAGGAGACGCGCAGTGCCTCGTCGCCTCCGCGGCTCCTCCTCACCTTGCTTTAATAAGGTGATAATTTTACCTGCATGCAAATGCTGCGTGGCCCAGAACAGTGCGCGAGCTCTTTCGCCACGTAGGTACCTGGCGAAATAGATCGCTTCGTACGCAGGATGGGGCCCGTGGGCTGGGAGAAGCTCTTGAGAAAGGGGCAATGGAATTAGCATCGCCAGGGAGCTTGCTTTACAAGTTCCTACTTTGTAATTATTTCATTATATGGCTGGCTGAGATTGGAGCTAAGGTGAAGCCGCCGGAAAGCCCTGGATTTCCTCCATAACTGAGCAGTTGAGGTTGCTATTTCTTTGCTGCTTTTATTAGTTGACTGAAGAGAAAGGTGATTCTCCATCTCTCTCTGACTAACCAGTGGCCATATTAGCCTTCCCTAACCTGATCCTTGCAGATGCTTTGGACTGCAACCTCCAACTTCCTCCCCAGCCAGGAAGACATCTGGAAGGCACCAGGTTGGAGAAGGTGGCTGCCTATCTAAAGGAACCTCTAAGTAATTTTCTTCCACATTTCAAGATAAAAGTATGCTGCCAGCAACAGAGAATCTTATGTGTCC